ATAAATGTCCATGAAAAATATTTCTATACAAATGGTCTCAACACTTTTTATTATTATAAATGATGTTGTTTTATCAGTTTTTAGAGTAAATAATATCCATCTTTCGTTTATTGAAAGAATTTTTCCACATAACAAAAGCTGTGTAAATAAATGAAATATACGATTTTTAACGTGATAATTTAATCTTATTTTCTATTTTCATCATACCAAAACACATTCTGTATCTGATTGAATCCAACTGTGTCAATCAAATATCAAACACAGTACACTGTTTTGTTTCAAGTAATCATGTACTCATCCTGAAAGCTCTTGAAATAAAGAGTTGACATGAACATTATACTCTTTGCACACTGTCTCTTGTAATATATTCAACAGTGAATCTTGTAAGCTTTTTTTTATTGGCTATTTACGTGCTATAGATATTTATAAATTACTTTTCAAAAGTAAAATTGATAGTTTTCGTTTTCGATCTTCTGACGAAAATGTATAGGATCTTGAAAGATTAAACCTTGAATCTGTTTTTTTTGGTATTCATCGATTTGTTTTATAATTTCTTTTTGACATTCTGTGCTTGCTCATAGAACGTAAAAACACAATATGTACATCTTGTTTTTCTCTGACACATTGTAAAAAGATCACTTATTTCTTCTTTTTTTCTCACTAACAACTTATGATCTTTGAACATAAAGATTCATATTGAGGGTGTGGGTGTGGGTGTGGGGGTGTGGGTGTGGGTGTGGGTGTGGGGGTGTGGGTGTGGGTGGGTGTGGGGGTGGGTGTGTGGGTGTGGGTGAGGGTGTGGGTGGGTGTGGGTGTGGGTGTTCCCTAGACTGAAAGGCTAGGGTCTAGAAACCGTAATTCACCCTCTGTTTGTAACAAGCGCTTGGCACAAATGATCATTTCCATGGCACAAATGACCATTTCTATGGCACAAATGACGATTTCTATGGCACAAAAAAGCTTTTTGGACGCAAATTACGAGTCTACTGACCAAGATATATTTTTACCATAAACCATGGTATCGTTTTCGCTTGCATGTATGGAAGAGACGGAAGTGATATAAAAACCCTTTGTGCTTCATTGAGTTTGAATTCTCAATGTGAAGTTTATGGAGAACAGTAAAAAATATGAGGATGTGTGCATCACGGCGTCTCAAAGGTTTTTTAGCAGTGAAGGAAGGTGATATTATCACACATGAAGCCCATGTTGCGAAAAGAGATATCGTAGAGTGTTTAAATTATGAGCAGTAGAGCATGGTATGTGATGATACAGTACCATGAAGACAAGGAAACGTTTCGAAATATATCATTTAACGATGCTATGCTAATGGTTTTTAGGTAGAAATAGTATAATGTCAGATAGGGTGCAATAGCTAGAGCGAACGATGAAAGAGTATCTAAAATGATGACATGAGTAATTTCTTTCGAATATTAGAAACTACGAACCGTGGTCGAACATGAAAAACTTGTAAATAGTGGCAAGAATGAAAGTTCAGATGTCAGACTGGATGATCGACAACATATGAACAGACATATTTGGCTTTAATAAACAGCTGAATACCTAGTAGCAATCCGTAAGACACGCTTTTTGTTTTCAATTCGGCGCATTCTCTTCAGGTAATGTTGTGCCAAACATCTTAAAGTACGTTTGTCGTACACCTTCTACGCTGCCTGTGTTTTATCACTGATGTTTATGATGGAAAATAAAAGAACATGTATGAATCTGATCTCAGTCGAATATACGAAATATTTCTAGTTGCCCATTCTAAAAGTGAATACACGCAACTATAAGCAAGTATGTCGTTAAAACAAATGATGTGAGAGAATGTTTTCACTGATTAAAAGATTGTATTATCTGTTAGTTTTATTTCCATTGCTTTTTTCACTGAATCCTTTTACTTCATCTCATCTTGTTACTGTCACTCGAATCAAGTGAAACATTCTTCTCCATAATGAGAATTCGAATGAAAATGTTTGGTACTACAATGTACTAGCAGTTGCATCATTTGTTCAGTGTAGGGCCCAGTGAATCGACTTTTAAAGTCGATGAACTTTACTTGTTTTTATTGACTCTCATATAAACATTTATAAATTCTTTTTGAATATTAAGGGTTAATTAATCGATTTAGTTTTAATGAGTTTAAACACACCTGATGATTCATAGTTTAGGCAACTGCCAAAACATATCATATGATCTCTTCGAATCTTTGCTTTTCCTGTATAAACTCATCCTTACAATTTAATGCAGAAAAAAAAATCGATCGTTCTATTATTTTTTGTCTTTCATTCTCTCAGTATGCCTTCCAGAATACAAAATTATCGATAAACAATCATTATCAATGTCTTCATCGAGTAAACCCGAGTAAAAAGAAGGAAACGAAAGATGTTGGTTGTTTACTGAAATTCTCTTTCGTTCTGTATATAACGTTTACAAAAGTCGAACTCGATTTTATATTGAGCAAACAGAATGATTCTTGTATATGATTTTTAGGAAAATAACACAAAAAATTATCTTTGGTATTGTTCATCTAGTAGTCCACTACGACAGCTGTTTTTTTACACCAAGTAACTGAGAACAATTTGGACAATAATGAGCCGTATCCTATCAACAAGATAGAAATGAGTTATATGTGTATCAAGGTTTCGTATGTCTTACTTTGCAGGCATCCACACAAAACGGAATAAGACAACAACCTAACCAGCAACCAAAAAGACGAAGAGCACCGAAAATCAGCCAAGTTAAAAGACCGTTTTGTTTTTCTATTCGAGTTATAATCGGTTGTTGACATCTCGGACATACACATTGTACTGGATGGTCGTCAGGAATGATGGTTGGAGTTCCAATGAACACCGGCTGAGGCATGGTCAGCTCTGGTGGTGCTGTTTGATAGTTGCTGTAAACTTGCGCATCTTTCCCCAAATAAAAATATAAGAACAATTTTTTATTTAGAAATAGATTTACTGTATGATGGTGGTGCTTCAACACTCATTTTATTTTGATGTACTAGTGATGAAAAATTCAAATCTGAATGAATCTTGTACAGTTAAAATTTCTTTTTCTAAATTTCCTGTGTTCGAATACTCTGTGACGGCCGTTGAATTAATATAATTTTTATATGTTGACGTATTGCGGTTCTCTGAAAGGGTGGGGTGTGGGCAAGGGGGAAACATCGTACTTTAGTACTTTTGTACTTTAATGTACTTCACTGTACTTTAAAGTACTTTAATGTACTTCACCGTACTTTAAAGTACTTCATTGTACTTTAAAGTACTTTAACGTACTTCATGTATTTTAAAGTACTTTATTATACATACGAGTAGGAAATTTCAGTTCTCTACAACTTAAACTACCTGATAACTGGTTACGCAGAAACGGAAATTGGGAGACTTTGACCTTTCGAGTAGAAGGATATTTCAGAGAAATAACGCTTTTCTTTAAGGGCTGAAGAAAGTAAATCGGGATCGGGGAATCCGAATCTGCGATCGATTTCTCAAAATTTCGAAGTGGATTTTTGAGCTAAGAAACGACTTTTTTCAGAAAATAACGGTTTTCTGTAAAGGTTGACGAAAGTAAATCTGGGCCGGGGAATCGGAATCCGTCATTAGTTTCTCAAAACGCCGAAGTGAATTTTTGGGTCAAGGAAAGGATATCTCAGGAAAATAAAGATTTCCTATAAAGGTTGACGAAAGAAAATCGAGGTCGAGGAATACGAATCTTCAATCGGTTTCTCAAAATTCGAAAGTGTATTTTTGGGTTAAGGAGCGGGTATTTTCGGGAAATAACAAGTTTCTATAAATATTGACGAAAAGTATTGGATTGGGGCATTTTAAGTTTACAAAATATGGATGTTAACTTTGGTGGAAATGCGTGATTGTATCGGATTGGACCACTTGCATTTGCTAGAAGTTAAGATGACGAAGAAGAAGAGTGTGAGAAGATCTCATACTAGCTTATCGCTTTCCCAAAAAGTTTTTAATTCTCCTGTGGATTTCTGACGTTTCGTTACGGACAACCATCTTTTAAGTATAAGAAGATTTTGCGATTGAAAGTGCCTTTCACCGTTTGAAAGCTTGTTATTTTGCACATAGCTGAGTAGGGTTTGCGTTGAATCCTGGAAATTGTTTTCATGAATGCTGGATCTTCTTCGTGAAAGCTTGGACGATCAAATGTGGAATGGAGAGTAACCTGTTCAGAACTGGTTTGAATTCACGTACTAGTTAGCCATGGCCTTCAATTCTGAACAAACGCCTTGGGAACAAGAATGCAATAAGCAACGAAGTCGTTGGAATGACTTGAATTTTGTTGAGAAAAGTGGTATAATAAAGATCTTGCACGAAAAAGGTCTATTTAAGAACTTTTCGTAGGCGTGGTATTATTTCAAATAGTACGAGACAAGTAGTTTGTGGCCTATTTTCAGTGTTGAGTAAAAGTTTGTTAAGAAGATTAAACTCGCAAAGACTATATGCTACATAGTTTTGCTGGACTCAGTAACATATGATACTGAAGAAAGATAGAGAAAGATATATACATGAATAAAATTCGGTCAAAGAGTGTATCTTATAACAAATAGATCTTTTTTAATGTGAACGCTGAGAACAAATAATTTTCCATATAACTTCAGAATATCTATCAACTTCAATATGATAGTTTTTGTTCCAACATTTCTATCTTTGTCAGCACTTATTAGCTCATTAAACATTTCAACAAAATTACATCCTGCAAAAAGACATATCGCATCCCGCCTTGCATTTTCAGCAAGAGCTATGGTTAAAGGATAAAAAGATCTGTTACATGTATTGAAAGGGACTCCTAAGGACAGTCCAGAACGATAAGCAATTACAAGAGGTTGACAGGAACTGTGGGCAGTCATTAGCTAGGACCAAAAATCACAAAAACTAACAAAGATTATCTAGGACTCTAAGGTATACCAGTTGACTACCAGGGATTACTACGGCTTATGCAGAACTGCTGGAGTTTTCACGGAAGTAAGAGAAGCTATTAGTAATCCCAAAGCGCCAGCAATATCAACTATTTTCAATAACACGAATGCCCACAGATCATAACACTCATCCCAGTCCGTGGCAGGATTTGAGACAATCTACCAAATCTGTTCATAAAAATGATAAAAATCGAAGTATTTTATGACTCTTTTATCTGAGTTCCTTCAAAAATGAATCATGTGTTGCGGCCAGTAAATCATGCCTTACAGATAGCATTAGAAACTGCCAAAATAAAATGAACACAAGGAAATCCCGAATCACATTGTAGTCGTAGCCTTACACTGTATCTTTGAACTTTCAATCTTCCATTATGAAGCTCTTATTGATCTCGGTGAACCACACATACTCATAGAACTTTAATGTGCTGTGAAGCTTTAGTAACATATAAAGCTTTCCAAACCAAAAAAAACATCCATCATTGGATGAAATGATGAAAGGTGCGAGTCTATGCTACGTGTAACTGTACTATTTATAAATTTGAGCGGTCAAATTGTGAATCTCCTAAATACAATCACAAGAGTCTCAATCCGTGCACAGACGCACATCAATACATTCTAAGCCAAAAGCACAACTTCAGCCATAGTACCCTTTCACAGCTTAAACTGTCTGATTCCACTAACTTCCAGCATACAAATACATACTTGCTGTTCCGCAAATCAGTTTCATGCAAAGAGATTTCTGGAATTCGAATATACTATCCATGTCAACGAAGCGTATCGCTAATGAGCCTTCCACTCTGAAAGCATTAATAAAGTGTCTCACACTGGAAACACTATTTTAAAGAAGTAACGGGAGCAACAACCTATAGACTCACATCATTACTAGAGAATACATTAAAATTAAGCCCAGCAGCAAGACTTATCTTTCACAACAGGTAATACGGCACCGTATCATAGATACTCATCTTTCCAGAACATCCCTTTCTTCGTCTAAAAAAAATTCCCAATTTCGAAAAATCGATTGCAGATTTGAACTCCTCGACCCCGCTTTACTTTCGTCAACCTTTATAGGAAATCCTTATTTTCCTTAAATAATCCTTCCTTGACCCAAAAGTTCATTTAGGTATTTTGAGAAACTAATGACAGATTCGGATTCTCCGACCTCAATTTCCTTTCGTCAACCTTTATAGAATATCGTTTTTTTCTCGAAATGCTCTTTTCTTAGCCCAAAGATCCACTTCGAAATTTTGATAAACCAATTCAAGATTCGGATTCTTCGACCCCAATTTCCTTTCGTCAACCTTTATAAAATATCCTTATCTTCTCGAAAAACCCTTCCCTTGACTCAAAAAATGGAATTCAAAATTTTCAGAGACTGACTTCAGATTCGGATTCTCCGACTCCGATTTACTTTCGTCAACCTTTATAGAATATCATTATTTTCTCGAAATACTGTTTCCTTAGCCGAAAAATCCACTTCGAAATTTTGGTAAACCGATTGAAGATTTGGATTCTCCGACCCCAATTTACTTTCGTCAACGTTTATGCAGAACCGTTATTTGGGTGTGGGTGTGGGTGTGGGTGTGGGTGTGGGTGTGGGT